GTTAGCCTGTTGGGCTAACTTTAGCAGCCCTGGCCATAAGCAGCTACATCTGAACGCCTCTGCAGCTTTAGCTGGATTCCCAAAGCTTTTCCAGTCTTATTCTTCTCTGAAGCAAATATTTCAACATTTTTTATCTGGATCTTGGACTTTTTCTTCACTTAGCTTGAAGCTGCTAACCAGCTTAGCCACAATAGGCAACTTCCTTATTTCCTTCGTGCACATGCTGAGTATTATAATTATTCTTGTAATATATACAACAAATGGTGCAAAAACACAAAAATAACAATTATTACTCAAGAAGGAAGCAGTAATCTTTCAGGAAATCTTTTTTTGCAGCCAAAATGATTTACTGAAGTAGAAATAAAGGAAATATCTATATGCACCTTTAGAATAAGGGTCAGAAATTAGACACTGACGTCAGGTTTTCTACTGTTTCGTAGAAAAAGAAAATACAGCACAGATAAATATTAATATTTCCATCCTCTTCTTATATAAAAGCTGAACGTTTGATTTTGGGAAATTCTAAAATACTTGTATGAAAAGGTTCATCTAAATAACTTAAAGTTTTTCCATCCAGTAGTGAATGATTAAAGCAGCGGATTAACGTGGAGCAGATATGGAAGGTAAAAACACGATTGGGCGACGAGGTTTGGAGACGATACAAAATATGAATAATATGAAAACCTTTCAATTTTGATTTTTGTACTCGTCCTTTTATGGAGACGGTACAGTTTGCACAACTTTGATTATTAATAGTTAAGCCTTTAGGTTTGCTGTCCCTTTTTTTACAGGCAGCATTTCCTTCTGCTCAGAATAATCTCTACAAACTAAAGTCCTGCTGATTTTTGTCGATTTCTCCTGATCTCAGCAGTGATGTAATGATTTTGCTTTGTTTGGATCATCCTCTCTGCGGACGTGACTTCGGCTGCAGGGATTTTCTCTTATTTTCTGTCAGCAGGCTGTTGTTTCGCTGATTAAAACTCCCTCTGCATTGGAGAGGTTCAGTGATGCAGCTTTTTCATGAACTGCTGTGAGTTCAGTTCAATTGAAAGGTAATGTGCCGTGACTGGAGCCTTTTTAAGACTCCAGAGCTAATTTCTGCTCCGGTGTGAAACGCCGGTCACCTGGGGGCGCCGTTGGAGGGCAACCTACTCTTGCTTTGTCTGGGCCGCCACTTTCAGGTTATCTGAGCTTCATCTAAAGAAAAGTTTCTGAATAAAACAAACATTTGCACCAGAGTCACATGTTTAAAATGATTTTTGTTTTATTGTTTTTATTCTGCACCAAGCGTATCCAAACTAGGATTGGATGCAGTGAATTTTCTCACAGCTCCTTTGTTTCACTTTTTGTCTTGCGTAAAACAAAAAATTTCAATCTTTCTCTAAATGTTGACAATCTCTGTGGTGCCAAATTTGTTTTCCTTTTTTTTTAAACTTTTTAATTGAAATCTAATGTTTTTTAAATGTGGGCTCTATTGATTTGTTTGCAGCTGTTTTATTTGTATTCCCAGTTTGGTTCCTCCTGTATGAATGTTTGCTTTTTTTTTATCCATTTCTCCTTTTTTTTTTTTTTTTTTACAAATAAAAAATAAAGTTTATCTGAACATTGGAGGAAAGATCAGTTATTCACATCAAAAGATAAACTAAAGTTGTTGAATTCAGGAAAATCAGTAAGATTTTTATTGTTAGATCAGATCTTCATCCTTATAGATCTAGTTAGACTCCTGGGAAGCTTTGCAATCAGAGATCAGTGGAGAATAAACCATAAACTATAACCAATAACTCTGGTGTCTCTGTAACCTGATCATGGAGAATCTAGAGTTCCTTTCAATGGCATTGTCTGGTTCTGCTGGAGGTTTCTTCCTGTTAAAAAGGAGTTTTTCCTCCCCACTGTCGCTACAAGCATGCTTAGTATGAGGCAATGCAATCAACTGGTTTTCCTTAGATGGAAAACTTTGAATCAATCTGACTGGTTGATCTGGTTGAATTGTCTCTACACTGGAAAAAATCTCAATCTACATAAGTAATTTTTTCTTAAAAGAAGTGCTTTTGTTCTTGGATTGAGGAGGCAAGAAAAGACACTTAAAATAAGAAAACATAATTGCATTGTCTTATTTCAAGCGCATATTATCTAATTATCTTATTTTAAGAGGAAAATTACTCATTCCATTGGCAAACTACCTAATTTACCTACTCAGATTAAGGGTAAATACACTTAATTTAAGACATTTTTATTTATTTCTAGATCTTTTTTCCAGTGTATAAAGTGCCCTGAGATGACACGTGTTCTGAATTTGCACTGTATAAATAAAGCAAACTGTAATTTGAACCAATCCAGTCAGCATGACTGACTGTGTCCTCATGAGACGCAGACATTTCAAACTGTCTCATTGGTTTAAATGTAAAAACATGGTGTATCAGTTTGGAAAGGAGGGACCAGGGCCGGACTAAGAGAGGTCTAGCCTCAGGCTGCTCAGCGGCGCAGCGGGTAGCGCTGCAGCCATAAGGCTCTGGGTTCGATTTCTGGCTCGGGGTCTTTCTGCATGTTCTCCCTGAGCATGTGTGGGTTCTCTCCGGGTACTCCGGCTTCCTCCTACAGTCCAAAAGTGAGATACAGTGGAAAACCGGTATAGAAATAAGTCAAAATTTCCTAAATTAAGTGTATTTACCCTTAATTTGAGCAGGTAAATGAGATAGTTTGCCAATGGAATGAGGATATTTACTCTTAAAATAAGATAATTAGATAATATGCACTTGAAATAAGACAAAGCAATTGTGTTTTGTTATTTTAAGTGTAAATTGTCTTGTTCTATTGTCTCACTTACCTCCTCAATCCAAGAACAAATGCACTTTGAAATTACTTCTCTAGATTTAGATTTTTTTTAGTGTATGAATCTAATAAAACATTTTTAATCGTATAAATTCCAACTTTCTGTGACCCATTTGAGATCTAAAATTGTGTTTCTACTGTAAATCAGTTTGAGCTCCAGAGAGTGCAGATGTTCTCCTTTTATCATTGGTTCTGTGATTTAAACCCATCCAGAGATATTGGGAAGAATAAAACGTGTTCTGAACATCCTGGACGCCGGTCTGCCTCCCCGTCACTCCTTCCTCTCAGCATCCGTCATCTCGGCCTCCTCCTCGTGGCGCTCAGACCATCTGCTCAGGAGGCGTCTCTGCTGTCACCTGTTAGAGCTTCAGGCAAAGTTTGAATGGAGAGGAAAGAATCCCAAGCTTCACCCCGCCGTTTACTTTTCATCGTCTCGTTTTGTAATGATGCTGTAATTCTTGTCTGAGTGAATTAAACTGGTGCAACAGATGGCAGCTGTCTCCTCAGACTCAGAAAACAAACACGTCCACCAGAGACGCAGACACAACAGAAACCCTCCTCTGAGATCCACTCAATCCCTTTAGCTGTGGCGACGAAGGCTCGTTCTGTAATTACAGGAGATGCAAAGACTTTAAACGCTGCAGCGTGAGTCTCTTTTACCTCCTGAATGAGAAGTTCCCGCTCTGGCTCTTTTCCAAAGCTAACAAATGGGACCCCCACCTGTTTGTGGAGCTGGGAAGATGTCGGGAGTCGCTGCCACCGGCTGAGTGAAAGAATCCGTCTCTGCTGCCGATTCAGTCCCAGAACATTCCTGTATTCACTAATTTCACACTCTCTCGCCTGGCAGTGTCCTCTGCGCAGGTAATTGGCAGCCATTTTTTTTCTAAATCTCTTGTTCACCTCAATCTTCCTGGAAGCACCTTGTTGGTGCTTTTTTTTATTTATACAGGAGATTGCTGTTTTTATGATCAGACCTCGGCTCCCCCTCTGAATTTCAATCCCAGCAGAGACGCTGTGCTGTAATTTAATTTACCTTCTGGCCTTTTTATGTATGTAGGGAGTGTCTGAATGTTTGGGGGGGGCAGAGCTTTAATTGGAAAAGTAAACTTGGCGCAG